AAGGCTTGATGAGCTGTGGGACATAACCTTCCCCAAATCAGCCTAAGGAAGGAAGCAACAGTCCTTGGTGGTAGCTGTGCCTTTAGCTTTCCTGAACACCACTCCCCTTCCATGTTTACTCCTTATTATATCATCCCATTTTACTTCAACTACCTTCACTTAATCTCCAGCTCCCTATAACCCCCTCACCGTGCTAGCTTACTTTTCTTACTTACTTAATTACTCACGTACTTTTCTTTTCTCATCCTTATCTATGTTCGCATGCCTGCGGGTTCTCCAATGTTTGCTGCAGGGGTACTCGGACCTCCTGGTTTACCTGTGACTGATCGACTGGTGCTGCTTCCATCGACAGCAAACCGGATTGGCGTCCATGATCCGAGACTGTACCCCTGAACCACCAAGGACCGATTAACAAACTGTCGAAGCGTTTTGAGACACACGTGGCCGGTAGACGCAAGAATCTGGACTACTATACCTGCTCAAGCCGCAAGTCATGTGAACTGTCCTGTCGTGTCCTGTAATTCGCAGTGGTGGGTGCACACCTTGTGAGCATACTGCCGGAAGAAATCAGGACGCTCGATTGGCCGTGGCCATTATCAGTCCTGTGCAACCTGACCTGACCTGACATTGGACATTGGACCTGTCTTGTCCAGTGCTGACATTGAACTGCTGTTTTCGGTGTTGCGTTACGTGCCACCCTTTTATCTGCCGCCAGTTGTTCGGTCTTCACCATAGAATATTGCGCCTTAACTAGAAGGGCTTCAGTGTGCTGAGCGCAAGTAATTTAGCTGGGAAACGTCTGTCCACTTTAATGGACATGGAACATGTGGTTACATTTAGTAATGAAGTAAGCTGAATCGCATTTCCGGTAGTTATGCTTAAATTTCTTTTAGCTGAAGACATTAACCGAGCACGCGTTGCCGGTGTCCAGGAAGAAGATGGCTTCTATAACGAGAGCTGCATTAAAGGCTCTTAGATTTTACAAACATATTGTTCAATGTGTGGAGAAATTTATTTTAAGGAGTTCTCCTCAGTTGAAAATTCCTGGACTGTACGTCATCGATGCAATCGTACGTCAGTCGAAGTACTGCTACCAAGAAAGGGATGTTTATGGCCCGAGGTTCATGAGGAACTTGGTTACTCTATTTTTGTCTATCCTTCAATGTGATGAAAAAGACAAGAGCATGATATCACGGGTCTTGTTTTTATGGCAACGCGGAAATGTTTTCCCCGAAGATGTTATTCAAGCATTACAGAATGTTGTGACTGATCCCGAAAATACCGATGTTATACAGAAAGGTAATAAGCTTAGTTCATTCACTTAAATTTTTCAGCTGCTCAAACCGTTGCTAATGCTGTCAGCCGCATGAATAAACCGTCGAAACCTATGCTTTCCCAAACCGCAAAAGATACCACTGAAACAACACATTCCCCATGCGAAACCTCCCCGAACAAGGTTGTCTCCAATTCAGTATCGCGACCCACACCAGCGGAGATGCAGCTATATCAGTTACAGGTCAGTTTGATGCCTTATTCGTTTCGCTTATTGAACAGAGTACCTTGGTCGAATACTGCATTCTGTCGAGCACTTGAGATTCTTTTACTCTGAGCAATAACTTTCTACGTTCGATCAGATGACTTTTTTTACCAAGTTGTTATTTTAAAATCGGAGTCTCGATGTTGTGTATGTTTTGTTCTCCAAACTCAGGAGTTAATTGCGTCATCCGTTTGTTTGATAATGGTTGAATGTGATACCGGATTCACTGGAAAATGGCGACGACTACGGCGTTTGTTTCTGGTGTGAGAGAAATGGGGCGGTATTTTTTTGGGCCATAGTGGTCGCTGCGTTTGAGGATGGGAAATATTTCTGATATTTTCCATGGGGTTGGAAATATCTCGGAATTTAGAGATACACGGAATAAGCGACGTAGGAGAAAGTCATTTCTGGGGCGCACATTTTGAGGGCAATGGGAGGAATTCCGTCTGGTCCAGGTGGTTTGTGTGAGTCCAGCGACAAGAGGATCTGATGTATTTTTCTGGTGGAAATGAGCGATGTGAAAAGATGGTTTGTCGTAAGGTGTGTGCAAGGTTGGATGGGTGATTTGAAAAGCGTAGAATTGAAAGCAAAATGGGAAGCAAGCACTTCTGCTTTTTCCAACGGGTCGGATGCTAAGTCACCAGATGGTTTAACAATGGGTGGGAAGTTATTGGAACAGAGGTTACGGGAGACTGCCTTAGCGAGTGACCAGAACGTCCGGCTTCCGGAAGGAGTGGTCCCAATTTTGCTGCTTTGTGTCCAACAAAGTTCTCTTTAGCCTTCTGTATAATGGTTGTACATTTGTTACGTGCTAACAAGAACCATCGATGGGAGCTGGGGGAAGGTGACCGAAAGCAGCGTCGGAACGCTGATTTCTTTTTGTGAACAGCGCCACAACAGGCGTGGTTGAACCATTCTGGAGAAAGGCTTGTCAGGTTTAGTGAAAGGAATAAATAGGTGCGTGCATTGCAAAGGAACTTTGGAGAAATTCAAAGCGGAGATGGAGACATCGGTGGAAAAGCAACATTCATTACAGGGGTAGGAAGCCAGAAAGGTACGAAAGCTGCACCAATCAACAGAACCATATCGCCAGAATGTGCATCTAGAATTGGGAGAAACATTAGAACAAATAATTTGGGTAGAGAGTGAAATAAGACAATGGTCCGATGAGCCCAGGGGAGGAATTACAGCAACATTTGAAAATATTTGTGGGTTGGATGGGAGGACAAGATCGAGGGTATGATCATGGTCGCCAGCACGGTCAGAGATACGGGTCGGGAAATCAACCAGTTGGTGAAGGCTGTTCAATATGGCAAGTGATTCTGCTTCACGTCCAAGGAGCGATGTCCATGAAGAGTGTAACAGCCAATCCCTGTTATGGATATTAAAATCAACCGAAATTGTGAACTGAGTGTTGGGGTCTGTTTCAACAATGCAATCTATGTTAGCTGATAAAACATCAAAGATTGAAGGGTCATTACTATTTGGGGAACGGTACACGGTGCAGAAGTAGTGATTGAAAGAAGGGAACCGAAGTTTCAGCCACAGAGTCTGGAACTCGCGGTTGGTGAGATTTAAGTGGGAGAGCGGAGTAGAAACAATTGAATGATGGATGAAAGCACAAACATCAGCTTTGGGAATGAACAAAGTGTGAAGGGAATAATTGGGAAACTGAAGATGCGTGGCGTCTGTAGAAGCGAAAAGTTGTGTTTCGGATAAAAATAGAGCAAGAGGGGAAGTGGACTGTAAAAATTGGTGTACAGAATCAATATTATGGTTCAAGCCGCGAATGTTAGTGAGTGCGATTGACGATTGAGAGTGCGCTTTAGAATTGTTCCTGTTTGTTGTAGTATTCATGTTGAGATGAGAGAGTAACCGGCAACCTAGCCCTGGAACTTGTAGTGGCGAACCACATAGGGCCCCGATGGCTAGGCGGTGGTACTGACCCGGACGACGGCAGAACCGTCTACCACCCGGATAGGAAGGTATAAAAACCCTGACTAGGAGACTCGATCATATAGATTGCATTAAGCTCTCTGGATGGGGACCTTGGGATCATTGTAGTCGACGGTTAAAGATGCTGAATGATTTAGCTGAGTGTCGTAAACAGTGGCACTCGTACTCCAGTTTTTGTGCACCCTTTTTCTTTATGAATTCCGTATTTCCACTGTGACTGACTTGGACATTCCAATCTTCCCTTTACTGCTTCATGAAACTGGATAGCCAAGAGACAGCAACCAAAACCACCCTACGAAAGTGCATGAGTAGTGGTTGTAGAAACTGAAACTGAAAACTTCTTCATTCATTCTAGCCTTGCAAACTATAATGGGGTCTACTTAACGGTCTCTTCGGCTAGATGCAGATATTAAATTAAATACGGACACGTGGGAACGCTACTGAATAACATGCACTCTATGTCACCTTGGTGATCATACTTGGGCAGTTGACTACCTCTTCCGATAACGTTTTCCACATAGGATCCTGTGTGAGAAGTTGGCCCGGACTTCGTTCGTGCTTAAAGCTATGCCTTCTCGTGCTCCGAGCAGAGGTAATCGTAAACAGGTCTTCTACAATTAGTCCAGATAATTTTAAAAGTTTTCACCAAGTCTCCCCTCGTCTGCGTTCAAACGAGAAAAAATTACAATCCCTTAGTCTGGTCAAAGCTTTCCTACTTTCTTAGCTACCATTCTAGTGAATAGACGCTGTATCTTTTCTAACCATACTTTGTCTCACCTGTATTATTTTACACAATGTGGATTCCAATGAAGGGGGAAATCCACGTAGACAAATAGCATGCCGTAAAAAGGACAGCAGAGGAATATTCACGTAAGACCCAGTTTATTGATTCTGCGTCTAAATAGCGTAAGGTTGTAAGTTGGGGGAAAACAGAAAGTAGGAGGCTGTTTCACAACTTCTCAGTTCGGGGAAAAAGGTTAGAGCAGAGAAGTACGACATATGGGAACTGAAATCTGATAGGAATAACTAGATTCCTGTGTGCGAGATGGGCAAGTGAAAGTTGCAAGAAGAGGAGCCACCGAGGCAAGTTCCGAAGAACTAAAACCAAAGTAGTAAGGGTAGAGCAGGGACAATAAAACAACTGTTCGACGATGGACTAGTGATTGCAGACAGGATGTTAGAGAACGATTATCGATTAGTCGGATGGCCTTTCATTGAACACAATCAAGAAGGGAAAAGAAAGAAGACGAAGCCTCACCCAACACGTGACTTAGGCATTCAAGAGCAGGGCGTATTTGAGCTTTGTACAGTAGAAGGTGAGCTGGGGTGAAAAAATCTGGCTCGAAATAAAAAACCAACCTTGCGCGCAGCACGAGAAGCAAGCTTGGCTATAAAAGGGGATCAGCATAAAGAAGTTATAAGCAATCCTAGAAAAGAAGCAGAGTCTGTGAAATGCAATCGAGTAGAATCAAAAAATAAATGGAGAGAATGACTGGTCTTTTGAAGAAAGTGAAAGAAGCGAGGTTTTAAAACTATTAATTGAAACGTGGTTTGCAATTCCCCAGGAGGAGATGTGTTCAAGATCGGAGTCCAGTGACACATTAACTGCACCACGGTCATGATCGACGTTCGTTTGGGCATGGATAATAGTGCGGTAGGAGAGGAGGCAATGGAGGGTGGCGTCATCGGCAAAAGAATAGATCGGGTTGACAGTTTTGGAAAGGCGATCATTGATGAATAGAAGAAAGAGGGTGGGTGCAAGTAATAAACCTTGGGAGACACCGATTGGCTGAGATAGAACCCCATCAACTCGGACGGAGATGGCTCGCTTACTGAGGAAACGTAGTATCCACGCTATGAGTGCCGGAGGGAACCCGAACGGGTGGTTTCGCCAGTAAACCTTCGTGCCAAACTCGGTCGAAGGTCTTTGAGATGTCAAGCGATACCAAGTGTTTCTCCGTGGTTATTGAGTGAAGCTGATCAGGATTGTGAGACAAGAGTCAGCAGGTCATGGTGGAACGACGCTGTCGGAAGCCATACTGGCGGTCGCTCAGTAGTCCTTCACGTTCAAGGAACGTGCGTACCTGACCAGAGATGATAATTTCAGATACTTCCGAAAAACAGATGTAAGGGAAGTGGGTCGGTAATTATTGGAGTCAGAAAGGTCGCCGCATTTCGGAATGAGAAAAATCACGACGTACTTCCAAGGGGTTGGGAAAGAAGAATACTGGAGGGAAAGATTGAAAAGACGACGTCAGATAGGAGCCAGCTCGGGAGCACACATTTTGAGGACGATAGGTGGAATACCCTCCGGCCAGGGTGGTTTGTTTGTGTTTAGACAGCGCAATGTTTGACGGAATTTCCTGGTGCTAATCTGAGGTAAAACAGGGTTGTCAGTGAAGAAGGTGGTGTAGGATAATTGGGTAAGGTGGAATTGGCTGCGAACTGTGAAGCGAAAACCTCAGCTTTCTCGTGTCGTTGATGGTTGGTTGTGGTGGTGGCGCAGTGGTTTAGTTGCTGTCACCGGCATGCTTGAGACCCTGTGGTCCGAGGTTCGAGCCCCGCCACCCTACTTTGGTGGTAGGCAGCTCCGCTGTCGTCCGGTTCAATACCACGCCTAACCTATTGGGGCCTTATGTGGTTAGCCACTCCAAGTCCTGAGGCTTAGGTTGCCGGTTTGCACCACTGAACAGCAGGTCCTCGTGACTATGGGGTTCGCCCAATCTCTTGTTCATCACACTTAGGTGTGTAATAAAAAATAAAAAAACCGAGGAATTACAGATAGGGGGAAGTTAGGAGAGCAGAAAATACGGGAAATGGCTTCGGCAATGGACCAAAATGTTCGGCTACCGTTGGCAGATGACAGAGATGAGTTTTTGGCTTTACGGCGAACGAAGTGTTCTTCGGTTATCTGAATGATCATCGAGCATCTTTATCTAGCTTGCACGAAGAGATGGTGGGACTCAAGAATGGGCAAGCTGCGCCAGCGACAGAAGGCTGAGCGTTTATGGCGTACAGCACGGTCACATGCAT